GAAAAAGAAACTGGTAGCATCCCTCACTGTTCCGCAGCTGCTATAGATGTACCCCAGACAAGCAGGGCCTGGAGTGGACCTCAGCAGTCATACAGCAAAGGGGCTAGACTGGTAGAAGGAAAACCAAGTAACAGAAATACTTCATCACCAACAATCTGGGTGTCCACTAAGAGACCCAATCGAAAAGTCAGCAACTACACAGACGACAAGTGGATAAATCCACAAAGATGGGAAGAAAGCAGTGCAAAAAGGAGGACAACACCCGAAACCAGAACACCTCACCTCCTAGAAAGGACAAAAACTCCTCCCCAGCAAGGGAACAAAGTTGGACAAAGAATGACTGTGATGAAATGATGGAATTAGACTACAGAAGGTGGATAATGAGAAACTTCTGTGAGCTAAAAGAACATGTATTAAATCAATGCAAAGAAACTAAGAACCTTGAAAAAAGAGATGAAAAAAGATTTGAAGAAATGATGACAAGAATGGATAACTTAGAGAGAAATATGAATGAACTAAAGGAGCTGAAAAACACAATACGAGAACTTCGTGAAGCATGCACAAGTTTCAATAGCCGAATTGACCAAGCAGAAGAAAGAATATCTGAAGTCAAAGATCAACTCAATGAAATAAAACAAGAAACCAAGATCAGAGAAAAAAGCGCAAAAAGGAATGAACAAAGTCTCCAAGAAATGTGGGAATATGTGAAAAGACCTAACCTACGTTTGATAGGTGTACCAGAAGGGGATGAAGAGAATGAATCCAAGCTGGAAAACACTCTTCAGGAAATCATCCAGGAACATTTCCCCCACCAAGCAAGACAGGTCAACACTCAAATGCAGGAAATACAGAGAACACCACAAAGATATTTCACAAGATGAGCAACACCAAGGCACATAATCGTCAGATTCAACAAGTTGAAATGAAGGAGAAAATACTAAGGGCAGCCAGAGAGAAAGGTCGGGTCACCCACAAAGGGAAGCCCATCAGACTCAGCAGATCTCTCGGCACAAACACTACAAGACAGAAGAGAGTGGGGGCCAATATTCAACATCCATAAAGAAAAGAACTTTCAACCCAGAATTGCATATACAGCCAAACTGAGCTTCAGAAGTGAAGGAAAAATAAAATCCTTGGCGAACAAGCAAGTACTCAGAGATTTTGTCACCACCAGGCCTGCTTTACAAGAGCTCCTGAAAGAGGCACTACACATAGAAAGGAACAACCAGTACCACCCATTCCAAAATCAAACTAAATGCTAAAGAGCATCAACATAATGAAGAATCTACAACACTTAACAGGCAAAACAGCCACTTAGCATCAAAATGACAGTATCAAATTCACACATAACAATATTAACCCTAAATGTAAATGGACTAAATGCACCAATCAAAAGACACAGACTGGCAAACTGGATAAAAATACAAAATCCATCAGTGTGCTGTATTCAGGAAACCCATCTCACATGCAAGGATACACAAAGACTCAAAATAAAGGGATGGAGAAAGATTTACCAAGCAAATGGAGAGCAAAAAAAGCAGGAGTTGCAATTCTCATCTCTGATAAAATAGACTTTAAAGCAACAAAGATCAAAAGAGACAAAGAAGGCCATTACATAATGGTAGAAGGATCGATACAACAAGAAGAGCTAATGATCCTAAACATATATGGACCCAATACAGGAGCACCCAGATACATAAGGAAAGTTCGTAATGACTTACAAAGAGACTTAGACTCCCACACAATAATAGTGTGAGACTTTAATACTCCACTGTCAATATTAGACAGATCAACCAGACAGAAAATCAACAAGGATATCCAGGGCTTGAACTCAAACCTGGAGCAAGCAAACCTGATAGACATTTACAGAACTCTCCACCCCAAATCCACAGAATATACATTCTTCTCAGCACCACATCACACCTACTCTAAAATTGACCACATAATTGGAAGTAAAGCACTGCTCAACAAATGCAAAACAACTGAAATCATAACAAACAGCCTCTCAGACCATAGTGCAATCAAATTTGAACTCAGATTTCAGAAACCAACCCAGAACCGCACAGCTTCATGGAAACTGAACAACTGGCTCTTGAATGTTGACTGGGTAAACAATGAAATGAAGTCAGAAATAAAGAAGTTCTTCGAAACCAATGAGAACGAAGACACAACATGCCAGAATCTCTGGGACACATTTAAAGCAGTCTCTAGAGGAAAGTATATAGCAATAAGTGCCCATATAAGGAGAATGGAGAGATCCAAAATTGACACCCTATCATCAAAATTGAAAGAGCTAGAGGAGCAAGATCAAAAAAACTCAAAACCCAGCAGAAGACAAGAAATAACTAAGATCAGAGCTGAACTGAAGGAGATGGAGACACGAAAAACCCTTCAAAAAATCAATATATCCGAGAGCTGGTTTTTTGAAAAGATCAACAAAATAGACCACTAGCCAGATTGATTAAAAATAAAAGAGAGAACAACCAAATAGATGCAATAAAAAATGATAAAGGGGAAATCACCACAGACTCCACAGAAATTCAAACCATCATCAGAGAATATTACAAACAACTCTATGCACATAAACTAGTAAACCTGGAAGAAATGGATGAATTCCTGGACTCCTGTGTCCTCCCAAGCCTAAACCAGGAGGAAGCCGAAACTATGAATAGACCAATAACAAGGTCAGAAGTCGAGGCAGCAATTAAGGGCCTACCACACAAAAAAAGCCCAGGTCCAGACGGGTTCACAGCCGAATTCTACCAGACACACAAAGAGGAGCTGGTACCATTCCTTCTAAAACTCTTCCAAATAATCCAAAAAGAGGGAATCCTTCCCAAATCATTTTATGAGACCAACATCATCCTGATACCAAAACCCGGCAGAGACCCAACAAGAAAAGAAAACTTCAGGCCAATATACATGATGAACATAGATGCAAAAATCTTCAATAAAATATTGGCAAGCCGATTGCAACAGAAAATCAAAAAACTTATTTATCACAATCAAGTAGGATTCATCCCGGGGATGCAAGGCTGGTTCAACATACGCAAGTCTATCAACGTAATTCACCACATAAACAGAACCAAAAACGAAAACCACATGATTATCTCAATTGACGCAGAGAAGGCATTTGACAAAATACAACAGCCCTTTATGCTAAAAAACCTCAATAAACTCGGTATCGATGGAACGTATCTCAGAGTAATAAAAGCTATTTATGACAAACCAACAGCCAATATCATACTGAATGGGCAAAAACTGGAAGCATTCCCTTTGAAATCCGGCACTTGACAAGGATGCCCTCTGTAACCACTCCTATTCAATATAGTACTGGAAGTTCTAGCCAGAGCAATCAGGCAAGAAAAAGAAATAAAGGGTATTCAAATAGGAAAGGTGGAAGCCAAATTGTCTCTATTTGCAGATGACATGATAGTATACCTAGAAGACCCATCGCCTCAGCCCAAAAACTCCTGAAACTGATAAGCAACTTCAGCAAAGTCTCAGGATATAAAATCAATGTGCAAAAATCACAAGCATTTGTCTACACCAATAACAGACTTAAAGAAAGCCAAATCAAGAACGAACTGCCATTCACAATTGCTACAAAAAGAATAAAATACCTTGGAATACAACTCACAAGGAACGTAAGGGACCTCTTCAGGGAAAACTACAAACCACTGCTCAACGAAATCAGAGAGGACACAAACAGGTGGAGAAACATTCCATGTCCATGGTTAGAAAGAATATTGTAAAAATGGCTATACTGCCCAAAGTAATTTACAGAATCAATGCTATTTCCATCAAGCTACCATTGACTTTTTTCACATAAATGGAAAAAACCACCATGAACTTCATATGGAACCAAAAGAGAGCCCGCATAGTCAAGTCAATTCTAAGCAAAAAGAACACAGCGGAGGGCATCACACTACCGAATTTCAAACTATACTACAAGGCTACAGTAATCAAAACAGCATGGTACTGGTACCAAAACAGAGATATAGACCAATGGAATAGAACAGAGGCATCAGAGGCAACACAACATTGCTACAACCAAACAATCGTTGATAAACCCGACAAAAACAAGCAATGGGGAAAGGATTCCCTGTTCAACAAATGGTGCTGGAAAAACTGGCTAACCATTTGCAGAAAGCAGAAACTGGATTGTTTCCTGACGCCTTACACCAAAATTAACTCCAGATGGATTAATGACTTAAACATAAAACCTGGCACCATAAAAACCCTAGAAGGAAATCTAGGCAAAACTATCCAGGACATAGGAGTAGGCAAGGACTTCATGAACAAAACACCAAAAGCATTGGCAACAAAAGTCAAAATAGACAAATGGGACCTAATGAAACTCCACAGCTTCTGCACAGCAAAAGAAACAGTCTCTAGTGTGAATCGGCAACCAACAGAATGGGAAAAATTTTTGCAGTTTACCCATCTGACAAAGGGCTGATATCCAGAATTTACAAAGAACTCAAACAGATTTACAGGAAAAAATCAAACAAGCCCATTCAAAAGTGGGCAAAGGTTATGAACAGACACTTTACAAAAGAAGACATATATGAGGCCAACGATCATATGAAAAAATGCTCATTGTCACTGGTCATCAGAGAGATTCAAATCAAAACCACATTGAGATACCATCTCATGCCAGTTAGAATGGCGATCATTAAAACATCTGGAAACAACAGATGCTGGAGAGGATGTGGAGAAAAAGGAACACTTTTACACTGTTGGTGGGAGTGTAAATTAATCCAACCATTTTTGAAGATGGTGTGCCGATTCCTCAAGGCCTTAGAAATAGAAATTCCGTTTGACCCAGCAATTCCATTACTGTGTATATATTCAAAGGACTATAAATCGTTCTACTATAAGGACACATGCACACGGATGTTCATTGCAGCACTGTTTACAATAGCAAAGACCTGGAATCAACCCAAATGCCCGACGATGATAGACTGGATTGGGGAAATGTGGCACATATACACCAGCTGCTCCTAAAGCTGTGGACAGATGCAGTGAAGGCTCCTTCCTACTACTAACCACATTTTCTCGTCCTGTTACTGTGGAGCCCATGGACCAGTTAGATGATGAAGAGGGACTTCCAGAGAAGCTGGTTATAAAGAACCAGCAATTTCACAGGGAATAAGAGCAGCCACCCAGATTTACACAACTGGAAGGCACTCATTGAGATGGAGAAGCAGCAACAGGACCAAGTGGACCGCAGCATCAAGGAGGCTCATGAGAAGCTAGAGATGGAGATGGAGGCTGCACGCCATGAGCACCAGGTAATGCTAATGACACAGTATTTGATGAGGCGCCAAGAAGAACTTCGGAGGATGGAAGAGCTCCATAACCAAGAGGTGCAAAAACGAAAGCAGCTGGAGCTCAGGCAGGAGGAAGAGCGCAGGTGCCATGAAGAAGAGCTGCCGCGAGAGCAAGAAGAACTGATGTGGCTACAGCAGGAAGGATTAAAGGGAACCTTCCCTGATGCGAGAGAGCAGGAGATTCGGATGGATCAGATAGCTATGGGAGGTGCTATGGGCATAAACAACAGAGGTGCCATGGTCTCTGTTTCTGTGCCAGCTGGTACCCCAGCTCCTCCAGGACCTGCCACTATGATGGTGGATGGAACTTTGGGATTGACTCCACCAACAACTGAACGCTTTTGTCAGACTGATACAATGGAAGGAATGGGGCAATTGGTGGAACTCCTCCTGCATTCAACCATGCAGCTCCTGGAGGTGAATTCACTCCAAACAAATGTCACTGATACTAATAAATTTGCAGTGTCTAGTTTCTCAAAACCCTTAAAGAAGGACCCTTTTCGGACTAGCCAGAATTCTACCATGGAAAATTGTTAGGGATTCCTTCCAATAGTTAGATCTATGCTACCTGTACTATAGGGAGTATGCTGGGGCAGAGGGCAAGGAAGGGGTGGTATAAACAAATCATGGGTGGTATAATGTTTAATCAGTTCTGTGTGGTGCATTCCTGAAGTCTCGAATGTGATTGTTGAGCATCTGGGGAAATAATGGCAAAGTGGATCCAGTTAGAGCTCATTAATCTTGATCATTCCAGGTTTTTGTTTTTGTTCTTTTTTTTTTTTTTTTTTTTGAGATGGAGTTTCGCTGTTGTTACCCAGACTGGAGTGCAATGGCACAATCTTGGCTCACCGCAACTTCTGCCTCCTGGGTTCCAGCAATTCTGTCTCAGCCTCCCGAGTAGCTGGGACTACAGGTGAGCACCACCATGCCCAGATAATTTTTGTATTTTTTTTAGTAGAGACGGGGTTTCACCTTGTTGACCAGGATGGTCTCGATCTCTTGACCTTGTGATCCACCTGCCTTGGCCTCCCAACATGCTGGGATTATAGGCATGAGCCACTGTGCTCAGCCTTTTTTTTTTTTTTGGTCCATCTTGTTTCGTTTGCTTACTTCCCACCCGCCCGGAGACAGAGTCTCTCTGTCACCCAGGCTGGAGTGCAGTGGTGCGATCTTGGCTCACTGCAACCTCCACATCTCGAGTTCTTGTCCAGGATGGTCTTGAACTCCTGACCTCGTGATCCACTTTCCTCAGCCTCCCAAAGTGCTGGGATTACAGGCGTGAGCTACTGTGCCCAGCCTCATTTGCTTTCTTATCCTTAACACTCTCCCAGCCCCAGAGAAACTGCCACATTCACGACAAAAACCAAACATCCCCCAATGACCTTAGCCCCATTGCTCCATTCACTCCCAGGTGAGAATTCAGGCAATCCACAGAGGTCACAGGCAACCAACATATCGTTGTGTTATATCCCATATATTACCCCTTCATGTCATAAAGAAGACATTTTTCTTAGATATTTTCATTTTAGTTAAAAAAAAATCTTGTGTTAACTTGCCTCCATCTTTTTCTTGAGTGAGTTTGCCCAGGAATGACTGTTTTGTGTCTATGATGTTACTGTTCACAGATTTTCTTGATAGGCCTAGTACAATCTTGGCAACAGGGTTGCTGTATACTGAAAGTCTGACAGTAGCTCTTAGATTCGCCTATCTTAGGTAGTCACTCTGCGCATTTTTTTAATCAGTGTACCGTGTTTGATTTGGCTGATAAATTTGGAGGTTTTTTCTGAGAAATGGAGCAGTAATGCAGCATCAACTTATTAAAATACATTTTAAACCTTAAAAAAAGAAGGAAAGAAAATAGAAGTCCTAAAGTGTCTTTCTCTCTTTCATGGGCATTCCTTTAAATACTATTTCTTAAAACTCTTGAAATGTCTCCATTTATATGTAGGCTTACGTCACTATGTTTCTAAACAAACATTAACTCTGGATAGAAACAGGCCATTTATTAAAATGGTTGTACCTCTGGGAAAAGGAAATACTCAAACTTTTAAAAAATTACTAGACATTGCCCATGCTTTGATCCTAATTCCTAAGTCCACAAAATGCCACTGTGGTCCCCTAAACAACCTAGAGACGTACAGTTATAAGGTAATAGCCAGTGTCCCTCTCTCATTGGCTCCAGTTGGTATGTTGACTCACCCCCACATGTAGTTCCTTTGCTTGTAGTTGGAACGGGCATACTTGAGAACTGACAGAACTTGCTCAATGGCACTCTGGACCCATGGGTGTGAGTGCTATTTTGGTAAAAACTGCTAAATGAAAGTGTCTGGAATTTCCCCTCCCTACCAAGGTAGTAAAGCAGGAATAATACCTCATCTCCAAGCGAGCTGCAGAAGTTAATGCCACAATCAAAAGCTTGAACAAAATAGAGGTTAGCAATATTTATTTAACTCCCACTTAACTCTAAGGGTGGCTTCCTAGAAATTGTCCCAGCTCCATAGCAGGTGGCATACCAATAAGTCGGGCTGGCACCGAAGTGAGTGGCTTCCCAGAGAGTCACACTTCACACAAGTAGATTTGTTTCTAGTGATTTTCACCTGTACTCAAGGAGGTGGGTTTTACTCACAAGTTCCACCCTTTGGCACCTCAGCAACTTCTCTGGCACCCAATGGGCCGCAGTCACACCCAATGATGCTCACAGCTCAGCTTTGTGGTGCTGAGGGGGTGTCTTGTGTAATTGTCCTCAGCCTTAGGAGATAGGTACTGACTACTTCCTAAATACGCCATTCTTCCATTCTTCAGACTTCTCTTAACCCCTCTTAACAGTTAATCATTTGGTATCAGTTTATAATTTATTATATTAAATCTCTTTTTAATTTAGTGGTGAAATTTTCATTTCTTACTAGACTCTGACTCATACAAGAAAGCTCCAGATGTTTTGCATATATTGAAAGCACAATTTTTGAAAAATTATACTTTTCAGGGGGGGAGGACTCAAAATGGCACTGTGAGAACAACCCAGGATTGAAGCTCTCGGTGAATCCGTGAAGAGGTGAATCACAGCTGCATTTCCAGACTGAACTTTGTTGCCCACAGAACGGGGAAATTCACAAGTATAAAGGAGACGTGGGACGCCAGGCAGAGGTACAACCCAGCAAAGCCAGCAGCCGGGGTGGCGGTGGCCGGCCCTACCCAGCACTCCCCACAGGGTGCGCTTGTCTGGGTGCCCTGTTGAACCAGCAACCTGAGACTTGAGAGGGCTGGACTTGAGACTGAATGGGACTTGGACAATGGGTCAGCCCAGGGGATTGCAGGGACACAGCATTTGTGGTAGCCCAGTGGGACAAACAAAACCACGATTCCAAATGCTCCCCATGCAGATGGTCCAAGATGCTCTGTGGGAAAGGGGCGTCCACCATTACCGAGGCAACCCGCCCCTACTGAGATACATGCCCACTGCTGACACAGCCTGCTCTTGCCGAGGCAGCCCGCTACAACAGAGAGACTTTGCCGCAGGGCATAGCCCATGGCAGAAACCTCAGCAGAAGAGCAGAGCCTGCAGAAACAGGGCGAACCACACAACAGCAGGGAGGAGCCTCAGCAGGCAAATAGTGACTAGACTGCCTCCTAGCTAAGCAGGACACTTCAACGGACATCCAAACATAAAGCCTGAACCCCCCAAGACAGAGAATTTGAGAAAAAAATGTTTTTTTAAATGAGCTCTGTTGCAGCAGAGCCAAACATAGCAGCCTAACAGCCCTGAATGAACAACAGAGCTCACAGCTCAGCAATTGAGCTCCTATAAAGTACATACTGTCTCCTCAAGCAGCTCCCTGACCCCTCTATATCCAAAAGACTGACATTTGGCAAGCATCATCCTGGGACAAAGATAGCAGAAAAAGAAACTGGTAGCATCCCTCACTGTTCCGCAGCTGCTATAGGTGCAACCCAGACAAGCAGGGCCTGGAGTGGACCTCAGCAGTCGAACAGCAAAGGGGCTAGACTGGTAGAAGGAAAACCAAGTAACAGAAATACTTCATCACCAACAATCTGGGTGTCCACTCAGAGACCCAATCAAAAAGTCAGCAACTACTCAGACGACAAGTGGATAAATCCACAAAGATGGAAAGAAACCAGCGAAAAAAGGAGGAAAACACCCGAAACCAGAACACCTCACTGCCTAGAAAGGACCAAAACTCCTCACCAGCAAGGGAACAAAGATGGACGGAGAATGACTGTGATGAAATGACGGAATTAGACTTCAGAAGGTGGATAATGAGAAACCTTTGTGAGCTAAAAGAACATGTATTAAATCAATGCAAAAAAACTAAGGAACTTGAAAGAAGATATGAAAAAAGATTTGAGGAAATGATAACAAGAATGGGTAACTTAGAGAGGAATATGAATGAATTAAAGGAGCTGAAAAACACAATACGAGAATTTCGTGAAGCATGCACAAGTTTCAATAGCCGAATTGACCAAGCAGAAGAAAGAATATCTGAAGTCAAAGATCAACTCAATGAAATAAAACGAGAAACCAAGATTAGAGAAAAAAGCACAAAAAGGAATGAACAAAGTCTCCAAGAAATGTGGAACTATGTGAAAAGACCTAAACTACATTTGATAGGTGTACCAGAAGGGGATGAAGAGAATGAATCCAAGCTGGAAAATACTCTTCAGGACATAATCCAGAAAAATTTCCCCCACCTAGCAAGACAGGCCAATACTCAAATGCAGGAAATACAGAGAACACCACAAAGATATTCCACAAGAAGAGCAACCCCAAGGCACATAATCGTCAGATTCAACAAGGTTGAAATAAAGGAGAAAATACTAAGGGCAGCCAGAGAAAAAAGTTGGGTCACCCAAAAAGGGAAGCCCATCAGACTCACAGCAGATCTCTCGGCAGAAACACTACAAGCCAGAAGCGAGTGGGGGCCAATATTCAACATTCTTAAAGAAAAGAACTTTCAACCCAGAATTTCATATCCAGCCAAACTGAGCTTCATAAGTGAAGGAAAAATAAAATCCTTTGCGAACAAGCAAGTACTCAGAGATTTTGTCACCACCAGGCCTGCTTTACAAGAGCTCCTATAAGAGGCACTGCACATAGAAAAAAACAACCAATACCAGCCATTCCAAAATCACACTAAATGCTAAAGAGCATCAACATAATGAAGAATCTACAACACTTAACAGGCAAAACAGCCACTTAGCATCAAAATGGCAGTATCAAATTCACACATAACAATATTAACCCTAAATGTAAATGGACTAAATGCACCAATCAAAAGACACAGACTGGCAAATTGGATAAAAATCCAAAACCCATCAGTGTGCTGTATCCAGGAAACCCATCTCACATGCAAGGATACACAAAGGCTCAAAATAAAGGGATGGAGGAAGATTTACCAAGCTAATGGAGAGCAAAAAAAAGCAGGAGTTGCAATTCTCATCTCTGATAAAATAGACTTTAAGCAACAAAGATCAAAAGAGACAAAGAAGGCCTTTACATAATGGTAAAAGGATCGATACAACAAGAAGAGCTAACGATCCTAAACATATATGGACCCAATGCAGGAGCACCAGATACATAAGGCAAGTTCTTAGTGACTTACAAAGAGACTTAGACTCCCACACAATAATAGTGGGAGACTTTAACACTCCACTGTCAATATTAGACAGATCAACCAGACAGAAAATCAACAAGGATATCCAGGGCTTGAACTCAGACCTGGAGGAAGCAGACCTGAT